CGCGGGGGAGCGAAAGGGTGGCGGTTGGCGGGCGCCCGCGCGCGGCTTTTAACCAGAGCACTGGACAACGTGTGCCAAAACTGCCGCGCGCGGTGCCGCTTTTTCCCGTGCACGCGCCGATTTTTTCCGCGCGCCTGCCGGAGCTCGCCAAACGGCCTCTCTCGCACCGAATAACCGGTTTTTCAGAGCGCGACTTAGATCATACCGTCTGTTGGAGATGCTCATGCCTATATGCAATTATATCATATATCAATATATCATAAACACTGCAATTAGATCATACGCGACAGTAGTTTGTTCACCAGAGTATGCTTTTTGGAGAGATGACTAATTTAGTTCTGGATCCGGACCTTTATTCCTCAAATCATAACCTTTTTTCTTTTCTTTTTCTTTTTTCTTTGTTTTTCCACTGGGTTTCTTTATTTTTTTCTTGTTTTTACTAGTTTTCTTCTTAAAAAAAATTCTTAATTTTTTCTTATGTTTTCTTCGCTTTTCTTTTTGTTTCTTTGTCGGTCTTCATTGGTTGTTTTCCTAACACAAGTCTACTTTTTCAGTACACAATCTGCATTTTTAATGTACATGTGAAACATTTTTTCATACACGATTTACATTTCTATTTTAGTACATGTTTTGAGCACTCTTTTGAATACATGGTCAAGATTTTTTTAAGTACACAAGTCCACATTTTTCATATACATCATTAACAATTTTTTAAATAGATGATTTAAAAAATCGAATATATCTTTTTTATGTCAATTTCCTTTTTCATACAATTATACATTTTTGGTATACATGTAAACATTTAAAATATATTTAGCTTTTTTTGAAATAAATGGTTAACAGATTTTCAAACATATTTTTTTGATGTCAACATTTTTCTTATACATGTGGAACATCTTTTATATACACGGTTAACATTTTCAAATGCATGATTAACATTTTTCTAAATGTATATACTTTCAATGTCCACTTCTTTCCATACAGCTTGTACATTTTTACATCAGAAGCATTTTTTTAAGGTTTAATATTTTTTGTAAATACATTATTAACATTTTTTTTTCATATGTATGTTTGGATGTCTATTTTTTTTCCCTACATGTTGTACCTTTCTCATACACATTGCAATCATTTTTTCTACACGTTTAACACTTCCAATTGCATGATTAATATTTTTTCAAACACATGTTTTTGAACATTGTTGTTCAAATATTTGTTAAACATTTTTCTCCAAATACCGCTTCAAACAATTTTTAAATGCTATCAACAGTTTTTTTAAAGTTGCACCAACATTTTTGAACAATGCACAAAGATTTTTTTCAAACTTGAGATTATTCTTCAATATAAGTTTTTTAGTTTTTTTTTAAATGTATAAAGGTAATAAGAAAATCGAGGAGTGAACTAAGTAATCGAACAAACGAAAACCAAAATGAATGGACGGTGCCACTGGGCCAACCCATTACTACATTGCTTTACGTGAGCGAGGCTATGTCTCACTAGAAGCGAGATATAGTCACTTCTGTCGGGTGGCTCACGGCTACGACGGATGCAGCACCACCTTCCACGCGCAAGGGCATAGGTTCTTTGGCCATCCTCGCCGCCTGGTGCCCTTGGAGGCATCACAACACAAACATCTTAGAGAAGTTAACCCCCCCCCTACCCTACTTGTGAGGACAATCAAAGATGAGGCGCGCTACTGGGCAAGCGCGGGTGCCGCCAGCTTAGCTACCATTATCCCTATAACCTAGCATCCCTGTACTGGGGCTGAGCAACCCCTCCTCTGCTCGTTGCGGCTCTCTGCCGCGCCTCTTAC